CGTTAATACGTAAATTAAATACTTTATTGCAATTCAGTATTTAGATATATAACAATTCAATATCAATCATCAATCATCATACCAAATATCAATCATCATAATATACAAATATCGCAGATCGATAATGTAAAGCTTTACAAACTTTTCTACGATCGTTCAATTCCAACATTCGACAGTTTTGTATCTCTTATATCTTAGTAGCCTGGATTCATAAAAATACATAGAAACTTTCATGTCAATCGTTTCTCATGTATAACTGAATATTTAGATACGGATGTGCTCTTATTACAAATATTCTTTATACAAAAACTGCAAAAAAGGAAATCGCAAAGTTTAAAATCTTGAGATACATATACCTACAGTTTGTATAATTTTGAAGTTTATATGCATGAGATTCTCTTTCTCTCTTTTTCTGTTACTTTCAAGTCATGTTCCAAATTTTCTTCGAGACATTCAAACGAAATCTGAATTATAAATTCGAATGACTGTTGGAACTTCAATTCTGATTGAATTGTTCTTTGAAACACGAGTTTGATTAACTATTTTGTATCCTTTTGGTGAAAACTTAGAAATTTGTTGATGCATTATTATTGAATTAGGGCACACTGAATTTTCAATTTTATTTCTCAGCTTATGTACAGCATTAAACAAATATAATTTATACAGTCACTTTTATATAGAAATATTTTTATATTTTAATTTGTCGGAGATTTTTCAAATCTATAACACGAGTTTTTCTTTGAATTTAATTTAATTGTTTTTACGAGCATTTTTTTTTTTATTCAAAGAGAAAATATAATAATTATAATTATTAGATGAATAATTTTACTTTCAAATAGTGTAAAATTATTTGCTAAAAATGTTTTTAAATTCTAATTGAGCAATATCGTAAAAGAAATTATTAATCTTTCAATAAATTTATAATAAATTTTTCAATATATTTATCAAAAAATGGGATCATCATGATTCAATACTTTTAAATTTGAAGTGTTTTATTTAAAAGCCAAAATAACTGTTTAATAGGACGATATTAATCTTCGAAATTCAGTTTTAAGACATTGAAAGATTCTATTGTTTTATAATAATTTAACGGACTAAAAGTAAAGTATGAAAAGTAACTTTGAAACATTTAATTTTTCTTTCTTAATTTTCACATTAAAGATTTTGGATAACTTTTCTTTTAAAAATTTCTTACACATCGTAAACTTATGAAAAGAGAATAAATAGAAAAGTATTACAATGTCATAATTCGATAATAAACCAGATAAAATTAAAGTTTTAATAACCAAAGTAATTTATATTATATTTGTTCAAAATAAAAACACAAACTAAAAATCACAAATAGTTAGATTGACTTTTCTACATTTTCCTTACGCAATTAAATTTTCAATATATGTGAAATTCATTAGAAAATAGTAAGAAATAAAATGCACAGATGGTATTTTATTAGTACTTAAATATTAAAAATTATCTTATAATTATACAGTTTTATTTGATTCACAATTTACACGAAAGAATTAGGTTTAATTAAGTATATATTATATAATTTATATAACTACCGTTAATTAATTAATTAACCTTGAAATTTTGCCATTAGATACGAATTTTCCATCGAAATTTTTAATGAAATTACATTTGGAAATAGAATGAATACATTATTCTCTCTACCTGCGCTTAGTTATAAAAAATATTAAAATATTCAAAGCCATAATAATGTAGGTAATTGGAACTATTTGAAAAGTTAAGGAAGGTAATGGAATGTTACATTTATTTGTTACGAAAGACTGATAAAAATTTTTATATGTAATATATAAACTAATATTATTTACAATAAAGCCGCAATCGAGATTTAAAAAAATTGTTTAATCTAAAATTATGATTGAATGCATATTATTAATTCTCGCAGTTGGAACATAAAGTCCATATCAGTATCTGTTTAGTTTATTAAACATTGAAAGTATAAATATTTTATTGTAAATAAAAAGTGAAAGATAAAATTTAGATGAAAATTATTAGAATCCCAAAATAAAGCTAAAAAACAACCCATTTTATTCGCGTCTCTTGTCACCGTTTCTCCTACTTCTGTTGTTCCATTTTCTTTAATTATAAGAAAAGTACAACGCGACCGAGTCAGAGGAAAACGATCGAAGAAAGGGATGTCAACCGCCTAGCGCTAAAGTGCATTTCAGTTGCTGCTTCCTTCACTGTTAAAATAGAATGCTATGCCGGTTTTTTCTCACTCCCCGTTAGCGTTTGCTTGTTTTCCTAGCACCTTTAGTCCCTCTTTCTCTTATCGCCGAGTCTATCTTACCTTTACATTTCTCTCTCTCTCTCCCTCTCTCTCTCTCTCTCTCTCTCTCTCTCTTCTTTTAAGTAAGCTCCGGCCAATAGACACGAAATTACTATCTCTCGCTTTCAAGACTGCTTTTTCACGGGCCGTGGCGCTTTCCCTGGTGCGATGGCGGCTTTTATTGCGCCACCCACTCAAAGGCCATTTTCAGTCTCGAAGAACTTAGCATTAGAGCAGGTAGGTGGTGTAAAATAAAAGCAAAAGAGCGAAAAATATGCCCCTATAGCGATATATATTCCTCCCTGTACATATATACATATACATACGCGCGCACACACTCACACCCGTGCATATTTCTTCATACAGAAATTTGTAGTTGACTTTATTTTTGTGAATATTTACAATACCGTGAACTTATGCGTATATAATAGTTTTGCACGTGTTTCTATTTCTTATTATTTATGAATTCGGGATTTTATATAGTTACGAGTACTTTTTAATAAAGATTTTAAAATAAATTTATATAAGCTTATATGGATATGTATACTTGATATGGAACAAGGGAATTGGTGGATAAAAGTAAGAAAAAAAGTAAAAGTTGTAGTAGGAGTTTAATGTAGAGAGTCAAAGAGATAAAAAAGGAAAAATAATAGGAGCGAGAGAGAGAGAGAGAGAGAGAGAGAGAGAGAGAGAGAGAGAGAGGGCGAAAAGAAAAGAAGAAGAATAAATTTATTAAATCGAGAATGGAGATAAAAATGTTACAGTATAAATGTACTTTTATAAAAACGTATTTTTGTTTACAAACGGGCATTTCGACCTCATCATAGACTATAAAAAATAATATTAAATTACAATTAACCAAACCACAAATATAAATCTAAAAAAATTTTCAATTTATACTGTTGTTCAAACTAAGTGAAATAAATATAAGTTCATATACTTCTAGATAATTATTTAATTTACCATCACATTTCATATAAAATATACTAAATATACTAAATATACTCTTATTCAAAGATGTATGCCGAATTCAAATCTATTTTTTATTTCTTCATAAAGTTACATATTTTTATATTTAATTATATTTACCATATAAACAATTTAAAAGCTATACCTAAAGAAATTGAAAATGTAGTTTCAATTTCAGAACATTGACAATCGAAATATGACAAAGAACTATATAAAATCGATGAAATATAATTGTCGTTAGTTCATTAGAATTATTATACAAGTTTCGAACAAATGCATCGAAAGTTCAAAAGTTCATTATTATATTTCTATTTTATATTTCTATTTGCTTCTGTTTATTTCATTTAATTACATTGTAATCTTATTGATCATTGTGATTACGTTTATTCAACTTATGTTGTTAAATATTTATTTAAATTGTTAAGAATTCCTACTTTTACCAACATTCAATAATATCTACTATCAACATTGTTACAAATTTCTATATAAATATTATTTAATGGCTTTGCGCTAATTTGTTGTGTTTATATTATTTTCTTTTTACTTCCATTTTATTGTTTTCATTATGATTTTTCTACCATTCGGACGATTGAAATTTAGCTAACTATTTATAGCGTCACTGAGGAGTATAAAAATTAATCTCGATCCTATTTTGCATCTATAGATACTAGATCTATTAAAGATAAATTAATTTTACGTCATGTGAGAGGGCGAGTCTTAAAATACACGAGGATCGGCCAAGTAAATGAAGAGTTGAACAATGAAGAATTGTCCTTTAAGTCACGAATAGTGAAATTTCTTAACATTCAATATTTGCTGCAAAAGTTTTTCAAAGACTCACTTTGCAGTTTGAAGTTATATTAGCTATACCTTATGCTTTTTCGCTTTTTTTCTCATTCATGTTTGTCGTCTCTTGGGAATTACATTTTCTGAACGATGCACATGATATCCCTTTATTATACTGCGAGTTGTATTATCTTGAAGTTATAATAAATCTTAACATCATTGTTTTATTATGAAAATTTGATAAATATAGAGAGTTGGTTAAACATAAACATACATATTCGTATGTGTCGTACGCATATTAGAGTACACAAGCACGCGCGCGCGTTTTTATTGCAATAGTTTCTATTCAATATTTTAAAATAATTTATTGATTTTAATTTAATTTACATTCAATTATGTAATTAATTTATTTGTTTGTTATTCAAGTATGACAATTTGCGAGATTTACAAGTAGAAATGGATATAAGCATGTACGAACAAATTTACAAATTAAAATATTACACAATTGATCTAATGTTAAAACAGTAAAGAGAACATTTGCCAACTTTCAGATTTAAACGTTTTACTTTACATGTTTATAAAATTAATATAATATGCTTCGATGTCTATTAATAAATATTACAATTATATCTTAGCTATTAAAAAATTTAATCATTGTAAAATCACAAGAAAATAATAATATTGTTAATCGTAATATAGTTAATATCCTTTGCATCAACTGTTCATTATTCTCATTAAGTTATACTGCTAAGCTCTTATTTATAATATTACAAGGTGGAAAATGTCCAGTATTAATTGATTTTAATATATTGATTCGTTAATTTGCCTAAAGTCCTTTAGTATCTTTATATTAACGCTTACGATGCGATAAAATGATCCTATAAATATCTTGATTGTTAGTGATTGCGTGTCAAATTATAATTTTTTATTGTAGCTATTAAGACGAAATACTTACTTGACAGGCATCAAGACGGCAGTGAATGAGATATTTATAGAAACTGTAGAATTTGCCGTAATGAGAAAACGGCATCTAGAATTAGGCGGGTAAAGTCCAGGATATCCGGGACTTGCTAAAACGCAGCCCCTATGGCACTGATTTTCTTCGTAAACCCAATCGCAATCTAAAAATTACATGAAATAGAGAATAATTTATTTACGATTTATTTACAAGCAGAAACATCATTTGTATATTCTTATCTATTATAATATAAAATATTAATTTTTTATATTTAACCAAATAGTCAGAAGCATAGTGAGAAGATTATTTTTCAATAAGAAATAATGCATTTTAATTATTGCAATCTTTAATATTTCATGTAATTTGGTAATAAATTTTTTTGTTTAAAAATTGTATCTACATAGTGTTAATAGAATACGTATTATTCATTACAATTGTTATTTATAGAAATATATTTCTTGACGAAGTTGTTTTACTAATGAAAAATAATTTTACTTTACCTTTTTTAACATTAATGGTATGGTTTATGGTCTACTGAAAGAATTCTAATTTTGAACAAACTATGGTACAATGTATTTACTATATAAACATTTCAACTGTCCATTTATCCAATTTTCAATTGATAAATATAAAAAATTCTGTATATATATATATATATATATATATATACATTTAACAATAATATTTAATGTTTTTTAAAATAGAAAATTTTGAATAACAATAAGCATTTGAATACGAACAAAAGCACTTAATGTTTAATTAAAAAAAAATTAATCTTATATACACAGCGAATATATTATGAAATCCATATTTCATGGAAAAATTAGTTTATTTAATTATTGCTAATAGTACGTCAATCTCAATAAACTTTGAAAAATGCTAAAATGTTTTTAAAATATTATATTGGATAAAAAAAATTTTTTTATTTATTGCTTTGAGTCCATCTAAGAATTATTCTCGTTTCTATTTACTCTTTTTCATTTTCCATTCTCTTTCCTTTAGTTAGATTATTTGAAATTACCTGTATTTGTTATAATTCATGCAAGAATAATTAGTTATCAAAGAATTCTTTAATGTTGTCGATGTGTTTTATATAAAATGTACGATAGGCGTTTGAATTGTTATTTTATAATTTATCTGTTTCACTCCTGACAAGAAAATAAAAATTCTACATAAATACGTCAAAATCTTGCAGAACGTAAATTTTTATGAATAAATGTTTTAGTTGCCAGCATTTTAAATTCACGCTAGAAAGCAAAAAAGTGTTTGTTAGGTGATAAAGTTGTAAACGATATCTTTAAAATGTTTTCTTCTTAAACATTTAGGTTTTCAGACCGTGACTTTTATACAATTTCTATGAAAATGAGAATTAGAACTCAATAATAATTAGTTTACTCATTCATTATAAAATAAAGTTTTTAAGAATGTAGAAATTTTAATAAAATACATTTGAAATATTCTCTTACGGTTATTAACGCTTCGGTGTATAAATATTATTTACCTTCAAGTATACTTTAATTTAAAATAACTCACTAATAATAATTTTTCAGCATCTAATTAAAAATTTATTTCATCTAACATAAAATTTTGAATTATGACTGTATTATCACTACTCAATCAGAACGATAATTTGTGATATTAAATTATTATTAGTTTTTCTTTATAAACATCAATGACTCTATACATTCATTTAAAATTTAAAATTAAAAAATCAATTGTAATATTATACGTTATTTAATCATTGAATTTAGTGAAAATTGTAATTTACATATATAGATGGGTTATATTATTAATCATGTACTCAGTAAAATTTTTTATGCTTAGAATTCGTAATTTATTATTTTATTATTTAACCTTAATGTTTTCTCTTTTATTGTTTAGTTTTAAATTTTACGTAAAACGTCGTTAATGATTCAAGATTAATGAAACCTATGTATTTTGCATATATTATTTTGACCAATTTTTGCAATTTATCGATTTCAAGATCGTCAAATAAAGGATCTAAATATTTTTGAGTTTGATGTTTTGCAAAAGGCTCGATTGAATTGAATTTTCTACCTCGAAACTCAAGTGCTCGTAATGTATTATAAAATTACAATATTTTTAATAACGTGCGTGGTCTAAATTGGTAAATTTAGATTTAATTTAATATTTAAATAATACAAATATCTTAGAGCTGTGGTTTGTTTTATCAATGTGTGTATACGGAGGCTGTACTTATACTTCCTGTATCGAAGTCGACGAGACGTGAACGATGTTTGGCAGATTTTCGAAGTGTCCGGCAATGGCATCGATTGTGCGCATGAAAAACTGAGTGCACTTAAGTTCTTCACTAGCGCACGAGAAAAAGGCGTTATTTGTCGATATGTTCATAGATACGTAGGAAGTATGGCCAAAGTAATTTCGAAGACGATAAGTTTCGAGGATGGTAAAATGTCGAAGAGACCAAGAGCAAAAAGACAGCTACAGAATTCCTTTTTATAGAGAAAGTATTTAATATATGTCGTTGTTTTGATAATACTTTATGAGCATAAATGTCTTAAATTATAAAATAGGAGTGGTTGAATAAATGTTTATACTTAATATTACATAAATCAAAATGGTTTTTATACGAATGCAGGAGACAGAGATTGTTCGAGTAATGAATTAAATGAAGAAAAAAAAAATGTGTTTGCTTCTCGATTCTTTTACCGTCAAGACAAATTCTTTTACGTATGTAATAAACGACCATTGCCAATAATGAATGTAAGGTATAAATGACGACGATTCTGTAACAAAGTAAACAAGATTTTTCTAAACAATTAAATTAATGTATCTATTTACGTATTTAAAAGCAGCGTATTAAATATAAAAATTTGGACTTTTTATGTGGTACACGACAATTGTTAATTCAGTTATATTTATAAATTTATAGTTTTAGTTTTTCTTTTCTACTATGTATATATAATGAAAATCAAGACTTTATGTTCCATTATAAATAATTCTACTTTTTACTAAAAGAATTATTTTTTAATAAATGTAAATAAAATTCGTGTTATTAATTTCAAAAATTACATTTTATTTTATTTTAACTGCCAAATCGATATATCAGTGTAAATATGTTATTTGAACATTTACAGAAATTATTTATTGCAAATATTAATTGTTGTTTATTACCAATCTTAAAATATTCTTAAATATTATTAAATTTCGAGGAGCTCGAGTGAGCTTGAAGATAATTATGCAACTTCCACGCCAACGAATACGAGCGTAGTAATTTTGTTGACTTGTATCGCATGTAAATAGATCTAAAGATAGTTGATTAATAGTTATATAATTTATTTCATATTCATGGTAAGAAGTAATTTTTTGTCGAAATGGCACGGAGCAATAAGTCGCTCGTGCCATCGTTATTTCGCTGAAAGTGCCAAAGTGAGTGACGGATCGACCGTAAATCGTATCCATTGATCTGTTTGTCGGAGAGTGCGAGAACGTCTTTTTTCTCCATTCTTTGCTTTTGGTTCTTTTACTCTTGTCCTGGCTCTTGGGATTCCATTATTTTCTATTGCTTCCACATCTACGAAAGTTTCTCTCAAGCACTGAATTGATATATCTCCTTAAATTATTTTTTTTTTTTACTTACTTTGTTTGAAATTATGAGAAAGGGTTTAAGCTGACGACAGATTGTTTTCTTAAGTTTCTTTTCCTTTAAAATTGGTAATATTCTTCAATTGGCAAAGTTGATAAATATATTTATAATATTTAGAGAAAATTTTGCAAATAATTATCATTGTCTAAAGAACGAGTGCTATATGTTTATTTGTGAGCCGATGTAATTGTTTCATTATTTTATGAATTCTGTGACATATTGTTTGACTTAACTCAAAAAATTAAGAAAAGGGTATGTTAAGATGCCAATCAATAACATATTCATATTCACATATGTATTATGGCAATTATAATATTATTAGGGTATAATGTGATAAATCACTTACATATCGAAAAAAATTAGTATCAATTTAGCTTCATAACGTCATTATAAATAATACAAATATAGGATAAATTAAAAATTGATAAAATGTGTATTAAAAATTATAAGAAATAAGTTGAATGAAAAATTCAGATCATGACAATTGATTATAAGTTAATGGGTAAATAATATTACTGTACTCTCACTGTTTCCATTAGTTAATATTTTCGCGAAAGTTGCATATATAGTTTTCCTATTTGCACCGTTCATAATAATCATTTTCATTATATTATATTTTTCATTCGTCATTAAAATTTATGTGAAATAATTTTTTAAAATACTATTGATAGAAAATTTCCTTAGATATTTATAAAGCTTACAATAATACTCATAAACACACCATCCGTTTTAATGTTTTAATGTTACTTTTGATTGATGAAACAGAATTATTAGTTATATTTGATAAATTAATTTCACAATGTACAAGGAGGGAGCTACGGGTAACTTTTAGAATGAAATTAATTTTTCATTCACATTTGCTTAAATTCGATTTTCCGCTTTTGAACAAAGTACAAAATTAATTCTATCGCATTAATATGAGTGTTATAATTAATTTAATCGAACGGATTTGGTCGTTGATTTATCAATGCTTGGCTTCCAAAATACCGTTGTTGATGATCAGCATTCATTGCATACTCAAACGTTATTAAAACTTTCACCTGAGACAGCTAAATGGTCATGATGCAGTTTCCCAAGTTTAAACTTCACCTTACATATTCATTTAATATATTTCATCGAATTGTATTTAAACTTGATATAATACTGGACTAAAAAATCATGCTTATCTTATTTATTTCTTCTCTGTCTTTGCAATCGATTTTACGCACGTTAATTTTGTTTATTGAAAAAATAAAATGGTAAATATCAATACCGAAATTATATTGTAAAATTGAAATTTTTAAGCATTATATTCGATGTATAGATTGTTTATTTTCGATTTAATAAAATAAACAAATATAAATGTAAGCATAACGTTCATTTTTAAATTGTCACATTTACCATAAGTGTTGAGCAATTATAAAATTTCTTTATTCAATCAATAATTTCATAAAGGCTTATACATTATAACTATTCGAGTAGGATTAGAATCATAATGTCGAATGAAATCTTTAATTAGTTATTTAATCTTTATGAAAGATGATTGTAAATTGAAATTAGTGGTTTAAAGCGGCAAAGTTATGATTTGAAGTAACTACTGGAAATAGTTGTAATCGATGAAACGTATATGTTCAAAGTTTCATCTTTGAATTTTAATTACAAATTAAGTTTTATATAGTTTAGAATATTTTTAAAATCGGAGTATTTGAATTGGAAAATTATGCACTTTCTAAATAATTATATTTATATTCTAAAGATAAATCCATGAAATAAATCATTAAAATCATTTAAATTAGCTGCGGATATAAACTTTTAGAAAAGGATTATTCTTCAATTATTTCACGTCTGATTAATAAAATATACTATAAATTATATGTGATTTATTAATACGATTTGCAGTAAGAAAACTTTGTAATATTTTTACATTCGTATAAGAGCGAAGCTTTCTTCATGCTGTATTGCAATTAAAAGTGTAGTATTTTACAAAATTTCTTTAAGCACAAAATCAAAAAAAAAAAAAAAAAAAAAAAGAAGAATTAAATAACACTTGCTATTAAATGCTGTTAATAAATTGAAGTTATTTATGTTAATAGGGTTTAATAAAATTTATACATTCAAAATTTTAATTAAAAATTTTACATATTCAAAATTCACATTGATAATTCATTATGTTTTTAAAATAAGAATTATGATATTTATAAAATATGTGTCATTTTTATTCAAACTCTGCGTACAGAATTTCATCTTAATATAAAATACCTAAGTTTTCAAAAAGCGCTTTAAAATATTGAATATGGTGGTAGTGAATGTTAAATCAAAATTAATTTTACAGTGCATAAACTTCTTATATGAGAGAAAATTCATTTAGTATAATTAAACTGTGCGTAAAAGTTAGAATTTTTTCACAATTCAAAAAATTTCAATCATTTTAAAAATTCACAACAACTTCAACTAAATATTATACCATTATTTTCCTATTAAACCAAAGTTTATATATATATATATATATATATATATATATATATATATATATATATATATGTATGTGTGTGTATGCCATATCGAAACTTTAGACAATTAAAGACATTAAGAATTTATTAAATATATACACACTAATTTGTTTTTATGTATAATACGCTACCTTTATTGCTTATGCTTTACATTTATTATGCATTAATAGCAATAAGAATTATTGAATAATATTGAAGTTTGTTAATAAATTACAGAAATTTTGATTTATTTAATATTAATTTAAGTCTATGCACGTAATATTTGAGAGCGACTTTTCAAAACTTAAGCTATATTACAGATTTATGATTTTCAATACACAATTCACAAGAAAAGCAATATTTTTATTTGGAATAGACATACTTTAAATATTATATTTATATTTAATAATATGAGAAATATGTTTTTTTTTGAGGTGGAAGATTCGCAAAAATATCCGTAAAATAATCTGAAAAATAATCTAAATAATCTAAAATAATCGCTTAGAAGTCTTTAAATTGTAGTTATGTGTTTTTTCAAAGTTATTTTCAAAATATAATTCTATAACGGAATTATATTAATAATTACATAAAGATTTTAATATTACTTTTGCTTATCGACAAATATAAAAAAATTCATATATGATATAAGTTGTTACGTCTATAATTTCTTTATTGCATATATCACGTCAATATTTCCAAATGGTAACTTTATGTAATTGATTATACATATTAAGTTCTAAGATGATAAATAAATTCATACGTTTTTTATATCATGCAAATATATAATTAAAGAAAGAATATAACATATTTTGTTAATTATAATTTAGTTTTATGAAATAAATTGCATGGTAATTATTAGTTATTACTCTATGATATATTAACATTTAAAACAGTTAAATTTTTTTTTTTGAATTTTTTTTTTTTTCGAAAAAAAAAACAACATTATTTTCTTGTTGAATCATATAATCCTTTCAGTTATATTATTTCGTTAATTTTAATTACTCAATATAAATATCAATAATTAATTACTTATCTTTAAATGACAATTCAATATATCTTACATGTCATTAAACATCATTTTCCTTTAGTAAATTTAAAAACTCAAACAAAAAAAAAATAACTAATTTAAAAAAATTACGAATGCCATTAATATAATAGACTCGATAATACGTAAATCTTTAAGTGGTTAGACGAAGTACGAATGAAGAGGGACAAAGAAAAATGTAGATAGAGATATCAGAGCACGATAACATTTCAGGAAAAATAAGAAAAATGAGTAGTACGACTTGAGATACGGTTAGACAACCAATTAATGAGATTTTCTAGTTCGCAAGCCTGGTAGAATCGAAAAACGAGAGGTAAAAAGAAAAAATGAGTCGTAAAAAGTATGGGGATAAAATAAAAAGGAATGAATAAGAATGAATTTCGTTGAAAGAAAAAAACCAAGGAGTACAAAAACTAGATGTAAACCATAAAAGTGAAATGATGAAGTTAGAGTATTCGTGAATATTGACTATAACGTACTTGAAAGTGTATATTTTACGTAACCATTAGATAAATAACTATTATGTAAAATTAATAATGTAAAACTATAATAAATTATATACATTTTTTTAATAATAATGAATAATATTTATTCACACGTTGAAGAAAAAACATTTAATGATAAAATTAGTTTTTATTATACACTATTATAAATTTTTTACTGCGTTATATTTTCTTATGCAGTTATAGGATTTATTTGTAACATATGTTGTTTTGGTTAAAATAAAGAAGGGAATTAATAACGTAAGAAAATAATTTTCCCGATTAAAACGAGATGAATCTGAAAATAATGTCATAAGTTCAATTGGCTGACTTGTCAAATATAATAAATTTGTATTATTACTTTTAATAGAAGTATTATTATTTGAAATATTAACAAATTTCTATTGAGACTATGAATTTGACTTTGAATAAATAGTCCCTGTTGATCTCGTCCATAATTATTCATGCTTGAATTAATTTTTTTATCAATTATTTCTGTATTTTATTAAATTTACGTTTTAGATTATCATTATAATTTTTGAAACAACTGTATTTCTGATTTAAATATGATTTCACAAATACATATACATGTAAATTTATTATTTAATTTATTCAAATTTGTTAATTAAATATATGGAAATATTCTATTATACGACTTGTTATTGTTTAATATAATAAAAAAAATATTTTTAGAGTTTCTTTTTTTTAATTTGTATATTTGTTATTTTTATAATCCCTTTGTTGTAAAAAGAATAATTATCAAAATTATAATATTTTATATTTTTATTGCTTTATAAAACGAATTAAATGAAGTATTCATTCCAAGTAAGAAATAATAACTGTTTAGATGTTGCATTCAAATTAATTAATGCATAAAATATGCGTAAAAAAATTCTTCTTTTTTTTTTTTTTAACGAATTAGAAAGTAATGAACTTAAGAATTCATAAATTTAACGAACAAACCAATTATTTTCTATAAAAATTGAAATTATAAAATAAAATTGAATTTTAAAAAATAAATGATATTATAAAATGAGCTGTATATAATCTATGATAATTATTTATTCAATTATGAAATGAAAAATTTATTGGAAATATTTATGATAATTTATGAACAAAATAAAATAAAAGGATTATGAAAAATTGTGTTTAGTGTGTCATACAGGTAAATGTATATTACATTTCATAAGAATTATATTAATAGTTTCTCTTCTGTACACAACAAAGTATAATTTTTTCTTTTCATTTCACTTTATCGTAAAATTTAGAAAACTATAAAATTTGATATCATCGTAAAGTACAATTCTTGAATAATGATTAACAATGTTAATTGAAGTACGTAGGTCTGGCAAAATTCAGTAGCTGGTATTGGTATTCAATGATGTTGTATATTTTATTGTTTTGAAATCAGTTGGACCATATGGGTATAAGTTTTTGTTCTAAACATTCTCTTGGCTATTGATGAATGTTATCCGAAATTTAGTGTTTATTACTATGCTCGATTAAGGGCTTAGGGACTTGAAATAGCATAATGGCTTGATAGAAGGAAACCGATCGATCAAAAGAGAAATTTTTCTCCACGCGGAACAGTAAATTCAGGTATGAGAAATATTTTGTCAGTTGAACTTACCCGTATTAGTAACTCGTCTGCCTCCTTTCGCAGGCCAACCGACGGATGTACTTGCCGTGGATGCGAAGCTATAGAATGCATAAACCGTCGACCTCTCCGTTTCCTCGTTTATTCTAAAACGTATAAATAAACACACATGTATGTATATGTAAAATTATACGGAGGCCTTATATGACAGTATAATACTGTGCGCAATAAATATTTTCGTAGGTGGTACCCATTTCTAGGAACGCCCGCTTAGGTCTCGCTTCTCTTCAGGCCCGTCTAGTATTTATTATAGCGAGTTCTCGGAGGATTTAATGCTTACGCATTTATATGAAGTCGGCGTATTTTTATCATTAAATGTTTCCGTCATTTTACGAGAGATTGGTAAGCGAAAATTGTAAACGCTTTGCCAGCTTAAATGAAATTTCTCCAAGGCGATAATGGAATTACATGTATATCGGCTTTGCAATTACACGTGTTTTGAATGTTGCACAACAAAAAATACATATTCCACATTATTATTAATAATCGCATTGCGAAAGGAATAAGGAATATTACGTTGTCGATGGTGAAAGGGATGTTGGCATACGCTTTTCCTCTCATACATATTTCTGAATTTAATTACATATAATGTTCCATTACCATCAAATACGATTTTCAGTTTAATATAAATATCATATATATATAATTGAAAACTAATGCCCTTAATACGTAATATTAACGTCGTATACGTTTTAAAATAGTATTTAATATATAATATGATGAAATTATTGTTTTTAAATTGTATTACGTTGAACGTAAAGTAAATGTAATTATAAATGGAAGTTATTTGACATTTCGAGAAAATTATTTGAGAATTTTCGTCTGTATAATGCTAAAAATAATTTATCAAATATTTTGATAATTTAATCATAGTAATTCAATTAATTTAAAAGCTAACGCAATAAGTTCACCTTAAACGAAATAATTCGTTTATGCTTAAGTATATATTATACGAGAAGGCAATTTCATAAATCAAACTACCCACAACAGTAGTCTTTGTGTTCTTCATATTATTTGATATACCGGAATATTAAATGGGATAATTAAATTTGAAATATTGTAAATGATTTTTCATTCTCATCCAATCCAAAGTGCAGTTGTTTTGTAAAAAAAAATTATGTAATTCATCAGGCTATCGGGATAAATTGTTAAATTTCTCTCAATACATCAGAATAAAGAGCAGCCATCAAACACCATAACTAACTGGCACTTATGTGGAAGAAAAAAAAACACAAATAAAAAGCAAACATCTCGAATAAGAAATACGAGAAGATGGAATGACGTTGCATGTCGGGCTGCGGGAAGACTCCTTTAATTCGCTTATTCAGTTAAGAGAGCAAGAGGAGCATTCGCGTAGTCGAGTTAGCTCCGTACCGTTCGGGATCAGAGGTTATTTCAGACACTCGTAACTTCTAATTGTATTTGCCCATAATAAATCTCTCTTTGCGCCCCTTCACCTATTCCCTCATACCATATCCATACATCGTCGACTTTCCGTGTAACCCTTTCATACGTCGACTATCCTTCCTTTGTTATTTTCATTTCCATATTTTATTCATTTTTATCTTTAAGTTTTGCCGCCACTCGAGATAAATTCCAATGCCTTTCTTAATTTATTTCCTCCTTATTTTTTCTTTTTTTTTTCATTTACTTTTTATTCTTTTATTATGTCGTATATTAAATCAATCAATTTAATAAATTTGATTATGTCTTTTATAAAGACACCTTTATGGAATTATTTTTTAATGCTCAGCTTGGCAAATGATTTATTTCACATTAATGGAATTACTTGATTAACTAGTTTATTGCCTTGTAACATTTAAGATCCATCATAACGGCGATTATAATAAAATTAATTTTTTTTCTATGAATTGTAAAAATTAATATTAATTTATTAACGAATTATTACTTAACTAACATTATGTTTAAATAAATAAATGTCGTTACTAAATTTCATCGACACGATATAATGATAAGGACATTATATAAGAAAATTTTATACATTTATATATAACCTAATGATATATTAATAGATATATCATATCTAATAATAATAATAATAATAATAATAATAATAATAATGATAATGATAATAATAATAATAATAATAATAATAATAATAATATATGGC